CCTCTTGACGCTTTGCTCAAATGAGTTAAAAACGCCGCCGGCTCCGCGTAATACGAAAGAAGTTGGTGCATAATTCGGGCCTCAAGTCTCCCATTGTTATTATTTGGAAGATTAATTACCGTAGGGATATTAGAATTCTCTAAAACCCCCAAATAAAATACCAAGAACGCCGCCATAAATCTCCGTTTTTAATCAAGTCCTATTTTTATATAGTGCGTTTTGGCAATATTTATCCCGCCCCACTCCCCCCGATCCAATAAAAACCAACCGGTCAGACTGTTTTGCATCTTCGAGTAAATACAAATTCGATCTAAAATCCCGCCATTAATAATTTCTGTCTCGGGCAGCTGTTATCAGTCTTTGTCCTTGCCTTGTCCGCTTTTCGATCTCAGATATCGCAAGAATAACTTTATCGGCCGGTCCTTTCAGGCCTGTACTAATGTTTCGGCTGAGTGTCGTTCGCTCGTTTGTTCATCGATTCAAAGGGAGAACGAACAGGGTAGAAACGTGTTACATAAATACCGTGTCTTATTGGTTGCGTAGAGCTCGAGGATGGGTCGGATGCGACGTCGAGGGGCGAAATTCCCGACGATTTTGACTTGCCTTAATTCGAACGCAGGTGCGGCGAGGAACACGAGAACTATCGGTGAACTTTTATTAAAACCATAGCGAATATTGTAATAATAGTGAGTCTAGTCGACGAAGAAAGTGAGGAAATCGATGGCGAAATTTAATAGTTTTAATGCAACAAGGTTGTGAGCTAGTTTTTGTGTCATCCCCACCAACAATTTAAGACGTCATTTCAAAATTTTGCTTAGTACATATCATAAATTTTAAAACATAACTTACTCTTGTAGTTGTGGTTTTTGAATTTGCCTTCATTTTATTTATTACTATAATTTTTATTATTTATTAGTTCCCGAGCGTGTCATGACCTCTAGAGTACTAAAAAAGTGGTACCCCGTTTCTATCTGTCTGTCTATCTGATGTCTGTATCAATTTTTTTTCTAGTAAAGCTGGTATTTAAATACATAACAGCAACCAGACAGAACATGGGCCTTGGCTCAATGGCAAACGCGTTAGCTTTGCATTTGAAGGGTCCGGAGTTCGGTCACCGATTTATATCTTTTTTTTCCTTACGCTGTGTCTGGTTTATCTGTACTTTAGCATTTCGTACATACCTCTACTTTAAATTATAAGGGCTATTTTGATTTTAGAATTTTTACTGCCCGAGCGTAAACCAAAGAAGAATAGTAATCGTGTACATCGTCCGTCTATGTGCCGTCTGTCTGTCTGCCGTCTGTCTGTCTGTCTGTCTGCCGTCTGTCTGTCTGTCTGTCTGTCTGTCTGTCTGTCTGTCTGTCAATTTTTATTGGACAGATAAAAAGCTAAATTTTGTATGTATATTAGGAATATCGTGTAGATGTAAAACGTTAACCAAAAATTGTCTAATAATCCCCACCAACAATGGGATGTCGTCATTTCGGAAATTCACAGTATTTACTACCGTTTATTTTTTTAATTTTATAAATTAAGATGATCTTGCGCTTGTGGTTTATGAAATCGTGTTGAGTTTTTACCCTAGACATTTAGATTTTTGGGAAAAAAAATCAAAATTGAGTAACATTTTACAAATTAGCTTTGGAATTCCAAAATCGAATGCTCTGAAATTTTCAAACTTTTTAAGGTGATGTTAAGTTCTCCAATGATGACATCTCACAATTTTTTTTACCCAATTTCTCGAATTTACAATTTTTCGATATTTGAATTTTCGATTTTTTTTCTTCTCGATTTTTCAATTCTTCTATTCTTTAGTTTTTCGATTTTTCCCAATTTATTACTTTTAGATTTTTTGATTTGTCGATTTTTCGATATTCGAACTTAAATCTATTTACTTTTAGATTTTTCGATTTCCGATTTTTAGATTTTTGAATTTTACAATTTTCGATTTTTTAATGTCTCCATTCTTCAATTTTGAGATTTTTACTTTTCAATTTTGAGATTTTTCGATGCCTCAATTTTTAATTTTTCGAATTTTTGGTTTTTCAATTTTTCCATTTTTCAGGTTTTAGACATTCCGTTTTTTTTACTTCTCGATTTCTCGAATATTCAATTTTTCGATTTTTTGAATTCTCGAACTTTCGATTTTCGAATTTTATTTTTTCAATACTGAAATTTTCAATGTTTTACCTTTTCGATTTTTCCTTCTACATTCTTCAATATTTTGACTTTCTGGAAGATTTTTCTAATTTTGCGATTTTCGTTATTCAAATTTTTTCATTTTTCAACTTTTGGTTTTTGGATTTTTCGATGTTTCAATTTTTGATTTTTCTAATTTTTGATTTTTCAATTTTTCCATTTTTCAGGTTTTAGACATTTCAGCTTTTTACTTCCCGGGCGTAAGCAAAAGAAGTATTGTAATCGAGTCCGTCGGCCGACTCTCTACTTTTACGTTTTCTCGATCTTTTATGACCCCTAGAATACGAAGAAATAGGTCTCCCATTTCCGTCTGTCTGTCCGTCCGTCTGTCCGTATGTCCGTCTGTCCGTCTGTCCGTCTGTCCGTCTGTCTGCCGATTTTTATTAGACAGATAATCTCCGAAAGTACTGGACCGATTGTTGTGAAATTTTGTACTTATATTAGGAATATCATGTAGATGGTAAAACGCTAACCAAAATTTGTCTAATCATCCCCACCACTAATGTGATGACGTCACTTCAAAATTGTACATAGTAAATGGGTTTTAAATTGTATAAAATAATATAGTCCTAAACATGTAGTTTACGACTCCGAATTGAGTTTTTACCCGAAACGTCCAGATTTTTGGAAAAAATCAAAATTATAAAACAGCATTTTGCAATTTAATTTTGAATCTGCTAATCCGAATGTTTTGAAATGTTGCAGATGTTTTAAGGCTATAAAGAGCATCATAAATCTTTACTCAAAATATATTTGGTTATCCCCTCCAAAAACTTGATGACGTCAGCTCAAAAGTTTGCCGAATAAATCCTATCTAGGATATACAAAATATGATGAGTCTGTATTTGTAATTTATCATTCCATTCATATTTTTTGAATTTGCATATACCGGGTGACTCAAAAAAAAATGAAATCTACTGCAAAAAAAAACATAATAGACATGTAGTCGTCACGTTTCCGACAGTGAGGGAAGTACTGTCTAAACTCTTTAGACCGATTTTTTTATCCGATTTCTCGAATTGACGATATTTCGATATTCGAATTTTCAATTTTTTTACATTTCGATTTTTCACTACTTCTATTCTTTGTTTTTCGATTTTTTCCAGTTTATTAACTTCTTGATTTTTTGATTTGTCGTTTTTTCGATATTCGAAATTAAATCTTTTTACTTTTGGATTTTTCGATTTTTCACTTTTTTTGATTTTTGGACTTTGCTCAAGATTTCTTCGATTTGTCTATTTTTTGAATTTTTCAATTTCCGATTTTTAGATTTTTGAATTTTAAAATTTTCGATTTTTTAATGGTTCTATTCTTCAATTTTGAGACTTTTAAATTTTTTCTTTCCAATTTCTTGATTTTTCAATGTTTCAATTTTTGATTTTTCGAATTTTTGGTTTTTCAATTTTTCCATTTTTCAGGTTTTGGACATTTCCGTTTTTTTTACTTCTCGATTTCTCGAATATTCAATTTTTCGATTTTTCGAATTCTCGAACTTCGAATTTTATATTTTTCAGTATTCGAATCTTCAATTGTTTAACTTTTCGATTTTTCCTTCTACATTCTTCAATTTCTTTACTTTCTGGAAGATTTTTCTAATTTTTCGATTTTCGTTATTCAAATTTTTTCATTTTTCAACTTTTGGTTTTTCGATTTTTGGATTTCTCGATTTTCGATTTTTGCTATTTACGCCATTGGCTTTTATTTTATAGAGCTTATCACAAAAAAAAACCTGCAAGATCAAATTTTGTAACTTTTTTAAGGAAGTCGGGTTTATTTAACCGTACTTCAAGGACGGGGAAATTCGGTCTAAAGCTTTTGACCAATTTTTTGGATAAACTGAATTTGTTGGACTCTAACTTCAGGAGATGAAGGTAACGTTGGACGAATATTTTTGTATTAAGAAAATTTCGTTTTCTGTTTAAATACAAAATGTTAACAAATATTTTTTTGCATTCAAAAAATTAGGGAAGTTATCAAATAAGCAGAAATCGTCGTAAATTGTGACCGTTGGTCGTCCCCGCTTCTTGTTCTGAGTTCATGGTTTCTTGGAATAATGCGTTTATATCAATGCAAATCGATATCAGAGAAGCCGTTAACAATCCACTCTTTTCTTTAATATTTCAATGTGTATGGTTATTTTGAGTGATAACTGATTAGAATTCTTTATACAGAATGACCCAAAGAAAGTAGTGAATGAGGCAATTTATTTTGTTTAGGTGATACAACTTCACTGCAGCAAATATCTAAAAATCTAGATCCGACTGTTGTTTTATATTTTGGTTGGTTATAAAGCGTCAACAATCGTGATTAATTATGTCTGATAAAGGAATCTTAGTTTCTATTTATACGAGTAGCAACAACAATTTCGACTAAATAATTAATCTATCAATTTATTAGTCACTGACAATTAATGATAAATTTGATATTTTTTTAGCCAATTGTTTGTTCTTGATCTTGTCTAGTGTTTTGCTATGTACCTATTAAATTTAGTTGTTTTGATGATAACACCAAGTTTTCGCGTAATTCATATGCTCTTAGTAAAAATTCGAATGCTTAGGATAAAATATCTAAGCAGATTCATAAACCACAACTACAGGAGTATGTTACATTATAAAATTTAAATAGCAGTTAGCTTAGGTTCGAGAATTAAAAAAAAACAATTTGGTGCCCACTCTCGACTGCAAATTTTCACTGTTTAACCTAGATTTTATTTGAAAAAACTCTCTGATTCTGTTATTTATTAGCCGCAGTAGTCAACGTGGCTATCAATAAACCATTCACAACCAGGATTTACAAGCAAGTTTGATTAATTAGTTTAATACACAATACAAACTACATTAGAATAACTAACCAATTATAACTTATTGTTTGTACAAGTGTATAATTATGACTAACTTCTCTCAAAACATTAGCTCTAATTATCTCTGTTACCAAAAACTGCTGCTCAGTTCATCGACCTCTTTCCTTTTTTTTATTTCTTAGAACTAATTTTTGAGCGAAGTTATAACATTTAGTTTACAGTCAAAGTAACCGTAAGAAGATTATAAGTCTGGTTGCTTATTTTAACACTCGCATCCCTGTTGCCGTCTAGGACATGACGAAAGCCGATGTAGGGCGCCACAAGACTTAGGTAATACCTAAACTTTGCCCTAGTACCGTCTGCAAAAGCGTGCGTCATAGTAAACGGAAGCCATGTAACATCTAGGTTACATTTCGTTGTTATATTAAGTGTAACTTTAGAAGGAATTTGTAGATCTTGAAAATCTAATAGAGGGCCTCTAGGATCCACCCAATCAAATGGATCCACGTCCGTGACAACACTCGAAATTATATCGACGTTCAATGAATTTGTAAGTGAGAACAAAATTTCTCTGTAGTTTACGGGCTGGTACAAGAAAGAGAAGTTTGTTGGGAGGAGCAACAAAATAGTGGTTGACAGCAGTAATTTTCTCATTTTATTAGGTTGGCAGTGAAACCCTAAAAATGAAAAATATGAAATAGAAGGACGACTATATTTTTGCTTACCTACAAGTTGATGAATATATACACACAAACAAAAATCGAATGAGCAACTTCTTTTGTTGGATGAGTTTTATAGGTTCGTGGACATATAGTAATCATGATCGATTGTTATTAATGATTTTTAAAATAATAATAGTTGTGTAAATCGTACCGAAAATTCTCCTAAAGATAAATCAATAATATTTGGACAGTTTCGTACAATGTAGTGATTGATTACATTGTGTAACACAAATAGTAATTTGTCTTTAAAGAGAACAATGTGTATCCGGTAATTGCACACGTGATAATTGACACTTGAGGCCAAAGAACTGCTACATTTATTTTTTATATAGACCAAAATTCTATTGTCTTGTGAAATTAAAGACAGTAATAACAACTGTATAAATGGATCCTAAATGACACTGTACAAGTAGCAGGTAATATCCCCAACTTTTCAATTAATCATTTTTCATTCTCACAAACGATTAAAAAAAATGTATTTGTTTTATTGTTCTTTCCGCTTACATGCGACCAGTTGACAACTCCCATTATCTATTGCGTACATGATATAAGTCATTATAGAACTAATGATTTTTTTTATCAAACCATACGTTCACGGCACTAAACATTTCGAAACAATAATGATCCTAGATTACTCCGAATCGTTGAAACATAAATTAGCGTCCACTAGACAGACATTGCCTCAAACATTTAAAAAAAACCAAAGCTTTCAGTAAGTAAAGTTCCAAACACCGTCTAATGCAAAATCGATGTTAATATTAACGTAATGGAGTCAAAACTCGCCTAAATTATTGATATCGTGCTTCACTTGATTTCTTATTCGATCTTTATTGCTCGTAATTACATGCGACATAATAAAAATGTCTATAATTTTCCGTCGTTACAATGTCATTCTCCCCTAAAGCGCCCCGAATAAAAAATAACAACCACTAATAGCACCGAAAGCGTTAAATTGGAACGTACGAAAATATGGCTGTTGAAAACAACATAACACCCGATTAATAATTCAGAGTTCGTCCGGGGCACATTTTTCGAATGTCCCAATCGCGATCGTAAACCATCCAACTTCATTTAAACGCTTTTTTATTGTGTTTAAATTGCAGTCTATCGCGCGGATTGCATTTCTGCGAATCGCTATTTTATCATTTTTAACAGATTAAAGTAAATTGAAACCGGAGCTTCTGCAATCATAAATTCAGTTCACATTAGAAGTGTAAAATTTAATTTGGAAGAGTGCCAAACGAACCGACGCTCTGTTGCCAAAGACATCTTTTAATATTTCATTTTTAATCCACCGCCACATTTCTTTTATGGGTCTTCATTGCGTGATGCGATACAAAAACAATCATTTCTAGGATGGATTGTAAATTTCGGGTCGGTGCTATTTGCGGTGAACGGACTATAAATTCTGTAAAACTAGAAGAAGAACCGATATTAAAGTTAGATTAATGTTTGAGTTTGCTTTAAATTCCGCACTTAGTAAACATTTTGGGATTCATTTTGGCTTGTTTTGTATGGAATATTCAGGACGTTGCATCTGAGCGCTCGCGTCGTGCTCTCTGGAGTGGATTTATTATTTGTATTATTTGTATTATTTTCCAATAAATAAACATTTCTGATAAATACACCCCATAACCGTATTTCTTTTGTGTGGTGGAGAATCTGAGAATGGAGCATTGTATTTTAAACGGGCGTTCAGGAGCGGCGGAGAGATATACAATGTGTTTGTTTATGTGTAGTGGAAATCAATTTGCCGTTAAAATTGGATTTTACCATATAAGCGTATGTAAATTATTTGCAGAAAAGTTGCACAATATCGCAGAAAAAAATGTATTGACAGTTTAATATGTACAACGGCGAACGATTCTTTAAATTTCGAATCTAGATTGGCTTTGGAACAAAAAGTCATGTGGTTGATTGATAACACCAGTTTTTAACTTGATCTTGACGTTGATATCAATGCTGTATGCACTCCACATCCACATACGTTACCAAATTACCAGCCTACGTAGATTAGAAATTTAAAAAATCACACTATATATAATGTCATACAGGATGTCCCAACATCTGGAACATTAAAGCGGCCGGAATCTATAAAAACTGTGGCGTTCTAACCCAACTCATTTCAAATACAAGGCTACACACCAACGTTGTATTTTTTTGTGGAGCGCCTGTATATTTTGATAAATTTCGATTTTGATGTACAAAGGACAAATCTTATCAGGTGCAATGGTTTTTGGTCAATAGCTTCCAGATATTTGAACTTTTGTGGTGATTTAAAAATTTTCGAGTCACTATATTTCAATATAGAAGTCTGGAATACTTGTTTATACGGGCCGATTAGATTAAAGTTCAAATTGGACACTCTGTATTTTAATCCATTTTCGAAATTGTCTTCAGCTAAGCTTTATATATACCAGATTTGTTAGGGTTCATCATAAGCGTAATTAAAAAAAAAATCAACCTCAACAAATTTAGTATTTCTAGGTAAGGAGATAAGTTTGAAATTGTTATAAAATACAGTTGTCCCGCTTTAATAATATGAGAAAACAAACAATTTTCAAATTTAATAATCACTCTGTACAAATAAATTAAATTTTTGATAAAAAAATATTTTTTATTAATCTAGTTTTGGGCAAAATTTCAGATTTCCATCTTCAGATAAAGCCGAGTTGAAAAATTTTAATTATAACCATTTAAATATTTTACAAAGCCTTTTGAGGGTTCGTTAGGCTTCGTTTCCATCTGTCTGTCGTCCGTCTGTCGTTGGCGATTTTATTAGACGGATAATTTTCGAAACTACTGGACTGACAGTTGTGAAGTTTTAGGCGTATATTAAGAATATTGTTTAGATCAAAATGGCTAACCAAAATGTGCCTGACCTTCCCCACCGACAATTTAATGACGTCATCTCAAAAGTTTGCAAAGTAAATCCTATCTAAATTTGGAAATAACATATTTCTGTACTTGTGGTTTATGAATACAACTTTATTTTATACATTAAACATCCATTTTTTGGGGGAAAATTTTCAAAATTGGGCAACAACATTTAAGAATTTAACTTTGAAACTACAAAACCGAGTGTTCTAAAATCCTGCAAATATTATCACAAGGTTATCGTAAGTTTGGTATATCGCTAATGTATCTGTTTATATGTGCCAAAAACTTTAGGATAAAAATAAAATGTGCAAAATATTAAGGATCCACAGTCTACTGAATTCCTCTTTTTTTATACATGGTGCCTAAAAAACCGAATAAAAAATTAAATAAAAAATTTAACTAATTTTGTTATAAAAAAAGTCGACTTTTATTTATATCTTATCTTTTGTTTGTAATATTCTATTCTTTAAGACCCTATAAAAACATTTGTGTTTGTTGGGTTATAAAATTTATTGATATTATTGGGAGGAATGGAAGGGTTACCAAAAAAAATCACAGTAGGGTTGTTTTTAAAATCTGTGTCACATTTTGTGGAAAGTTAAAGAAAGACAAGCCCTTTGTTGTGGGATATATATTATATATAACTGAAAAACTCAAAAATTGTGGAATCGAAAAATTATAGAATCGTCAAAATTGTAACATCGAAAAACATTCAAAGATCGAAAAATTGCAAAATTGAAAATGTGAAAAATTAAAAAAAGAAAAATTTAAAAATTCCATAAATGAAAAAGTTAAAAAATTTAGTAGGTTGAAAAATGGAAAATTCTCAAAATCGTAAAATTGAGAGAGTACGAAATTTTAAAAATTAAAATTATTATTACATATTTAAAATGAAAACTAAAAAAATTGAGAATTAAAATTTGAAGAAAGGAAACATTGAAAAATCATGAAAATTTAAACAATCTAAAAATTGAAGAATCAAAAAATGGAAAACCGAAAAATAGAATCTCAAAATTGAAAAATTTCACATTGAAAAAAAAAATTATAAAATTAGAACACTGAAAAACCGAAAAATTGAAAAAATACGAAAAGATAAATATAAAAATTGAAAACTCGTGAAATTGTACATCGAGTAATTGCAAAATCTAAAAATTGAAACATTCAAAATTTGGAAAATCGAAAAATTGGAATATTTAAAAATGAAAACTCGAAGAGTCGCGTGTCGTAAAATTTAAGAAACAAAAAATGAAAAATTGTAAACCGAAAAAGTGAAGAAATGAAAAATTTAAAAATAAAGAAAATAAAAAGCCGAAACGAAAAACTGCAAATCGAAAATTTGAAAAAATTAAAAATTGAAGAATCGAAAAGTTGAAAAATTAAACTCGAAAAATTGAAAAATCAAATAAATCTAAACATTTTAAAATCCAATAATTGAAAAATCGAAAAATTTAAATCGTAAAACTGAAAATTTGAAGTTTTTTAAAAATTATTATTATTAGATATTTGAAATAAAAACTACACTCAAAAATTGAAGAAACCAAAAATTGCAACTCTAGAAATTGAAATATCTCATAATTAAAAAATTTAACATCGGAAAAAAGGATAATTATAAAATCAGAACATTGAAAAACTGAAAAATTGAAAAAAATTAAGAAAATAAAAAACCGAAACGAAAAATTTAAGAGCACGAAAAACTGAAAAAGCTAAAAATTGAAACATCCAAAATTTAGAAAATGGCAAAACTGGAATATTTAAAAATGAAAACTCGAACAGTTGCGTGTTATAAATTGAAAATGAAAAAATGAAAAATTTGAAAATCGAAAAAATGAAGAAATGAAAAATTGAAAAATAAAGAACATAAAAAGCCAAAACGAAAAATTGCAAATTGAAAATTCGAAAAAATGAAAAATTGAGGAATCCAAAAATTGAAGAATCGAAAACTTGAAAAATTAAAAATCGAAAAATGGAAAAATCGAAAAAATGTAAAGATTTTAAAAGGCAGTCATTGAAAAATGGAAAAATTTTAACTCGTAAAATTGAAAATTATTATTAGATATTTAAAATGAAAACTACAATCAAAAATTGAAGAGACGAAAAATTGCAAATCTAGAAATTCAAAAATCTCATAATTGTAAAATTTCACATCAACAGCTTCCAGATATTTTAACTTTTGTGGTGATTTAAAAATTTTCGAGTCACTATA